TGTCCCAGGATAATGTCATCATCTTTTGCAAACTTCTGACAAGTACAGTCAATGGTGAAGCCAGATTCACTTAGTAACTATGTTACTCACATAACTGCAGTGATTCACTTAAGAACTCTAGCAAAAAAGGTTGTAAAATGGGGCACAACTAACTTGGCAGCTGTCTTGTTTAGCAACAGAAATTTTGGGCTCAATTGTGGCCGTATGTCAAGGACTATCTGTATCAGCTTAACATGCTGCACCTCACAATCTCTTGTTTGCAAACTTAAAGATACACTGCTATCAAATGCAGAGCAGGCTAAGGATCAAATGTGTTTGTAGATTCTCAGTCATCCAGGTCATGGTAATCCCATAGGTGATTCTTCAAGAGGCAACGATCTTTCTGGTTTTTCTTTGAAGGTGTTTTGCTTCTCATTCAAGAAGCTTCTTCTCTTCCAGAGTTGAAGAAGCTTTTTGGATGAGAAGCAAAACACCAAAGAAAAACCAGAAAGTTCGGTTGTCTCTTGAAAAATCGTCTATGGGACTAAGAGTCAAATAAATAAAAGCTGGTTTGGTTTAGTGGTTAAGACACCAGGCTGGAAAACAGGAAACGATGAGATCTAGTCTTGCCTTAGCTATGAAAGCAGCAGACTTTGGGTTAGTCATTTTCAGACCAACATACCTGACAGGGTGGTTGTGGTGGGGAAAATGGGAGGAAGGAAAAGTATTAGGTACATTCTCTACCTTGAATTATTTATAAAAGTTAAGGTACATAAAATTAAATCAAATTAAGTACTCCTTTCCCAGTCCATTCCAGTACAATGAGAAAGTACATGAGTGAAAGATGATAGATGGTCTATCCAATTCCCTTGGACCTTGCCAATGGCAGTGCAGGCAAGAACCAGAGCCAGTGTGCAAACTCATGTGTGGAAGAACAAGGTTGTGTATTATAAGGCAAGTTGTGATTTACCTTAGAATAGTACCCGAGGGTGGCATAGTCATCCAACCACGACATGGAGCGTGGTTTTGATTCAGACAGGGGGCCATCCTAGTTACACCTAGCCCAATATATTTAGGTGAAAAACACTATGTAAAATATAGCTCATCTGTGTTTCAAGGCTATTGAGAGAAGGAACCAATATCTATTAATTCAGGTGGAAGGAAAACACCCAAGTTTAAATGCTACAACATGGGTGTCAAACTCATGATGTCACATTGCCATCACGTCACATATTGTGGTGTTTTTTCAGTTTGTGAAACTGGGGAGGGTGTGGCCTGCATGTGATGCATCCAGCCCGATACTCCTGTTTACATCATAGATAACATATCTGCATTGACTTCATCGCATTACTGAGAGCCGGTAGTTTTGTTTTCAGTAAAGATTCTAATTGTGTTATTTTGGAGAGTTCTGCCAAATTAAGCCAAATTACCAAATAAGATTTAAGTACCTGCAGAGTGAGATTTCTGGTGAGAAGCCTGACACAAAACAACGATGTTCCGCATTGCATATCCTAAAATTTTCTGGTTTCCCAGCTAGATCTTAATTCCAACATTAGAAATGGGACATTTGAGAGCAGCAACCAGATTAGGGACATGCTACACTACAGCACAGTGGTTAAAGCATCAGAGTAGAAACTGGGAGATTTGAGTTCTAGTCCTGCCTTTGGAACAAAGCCACCCAGGTGACTTTGGGCCACTCTATGAGGCAGCAATGGGAAACCATTCCTAAAAAACACTGCCAAGAGAACTGCAGGGACTTGTCCAGGCAGCCTCCAAGAATTGGACACAATTGATTGGAAGAAAAAATAATTTTATACTGATCTCAGATGTTTCTTGAACCTAATCTTCAGAAGTACAAGTGATTTTTCAAATATGAAAAAACATTTTTAAAAGGAAATGCTCAGGATCATATTCTAAAGAAAAATTATTCAGGATTCTCAGAACAAAGTACCTCATCAAAGTTGCATTTTTGTAAAGCCACATGTGCCATTCTATAACAGTCTAAACATATGCAGAACATACAATCATATGTATGTCCTACTCATTTATGCATCTATTTGCCTCTCCTTAATGTTGTTTCCACCATGTTGAATTTTAGAGCATGTCCTTTTATGTAAAACCATCTGGTACTTTAATATCAAGAAGCTGATGCTGCTAAATAAATGATTTTTAAATACTTTTAACTGTTAAGCAAAAAACTGTGGTAACATGGTGCTTGGGGAAACTCCTCAGACACATCTCTTGGTGCCACCAAGTCTCCATCCGCCATGCTGAAAACCAAAATAATCTAACATAATCTATTAATTTATAACAGATTTTTATTTATTTATTTATTTAGAAAATTTGCCACCCATCTGATATCCAACATCTCAAATTTATTTATTTGCAAGGACACTGCAATGTTACAAAACATCCAATGGAGCTAACTTGCCTTCCAATCAATACTTGTTCCATGGTTGACCATGCCCACCCACACCCCCCAGGAATTTCTGGATAAGCAAATCTACATTGGGGGAATTGGGAGTGTGCTCATCCCACCCTCTCAAGTTTCCAAATGTCACAATCCAAAAGTTTGCATACCCTGAAAGGATATGCTGGAAAAGATAACAGAAGAAATTTTATCTCATTTCAGAAACCAGGATTCAGCATCTGATAAAGTACTTAGAAACCTGAAGCCTCTTTCACGCTTGCAAAGTAATTTGGGCCAGCCTTAACCTTGAATTAAACAGGATATGCTTCCAAGCAAACAGTGGTTAATAGCCTTATATAAGCCTACTAAGTCAATTACAGTCACAATGCCTTTACCAAAGAAATGTACACAATTTCAACTTTTTTTAAAAAAACAAAAACATTTTTTTCACCTCAAGATGTGGAAGCTTATTGAGGCAAAGGGAATATCAGCTACATCTATGATGAAATCTACTCTTTGGGCCTATTCTCATCTGCCATTAAGACAACACAATCTCATCTTGACAGTACCAATTTTCCCTTTTGGTTCCACAACGCTCTCCTTCTTCCATCACTACCTAGCCCATGAATGACATGGCCATAGGTTTTTAGTAGCAATACTAATGCAAAATTTACTAATGCTGCTTTTTAGTCCAGCATCATCTAACAATAACATCAAGGTGGGTAATTTCATTCATTTTTCCAGAGGGAAAGTCAGCTGGCCTATTTTAAACATGACCCAAGGGGCACTTTGGCAGTGTTGGAAGAGGCAGACACAACTCTTCCACTCTTGTCTCCAACCAGTCTCTATCAAAGCCACATTCTCCCAGTCTTTGCAACATTCAAAAAGTATTTGGTTCCTGGGTTCCCTTGATTTATACTACTGTACCACAAATATGTAAATATGCACTACTTCTAACACCATTTTTTTCTCCACGCTTCAAATAGCACGGAGAGAAACCCAACCTTTACATAGAAATCACCTAGGTGAGTTGGACAGCTATATAAATTTGTTTAATAATTTCATTTAGAGAAAAGGCTGGGAAGCTTTTTCCCTATTCCACATTAAAATATTATCATATGTCTCTAACATAAAATGCAGCAGCACAGATATTTCTTAGTACAGCACATGAAAAATAAGGAAGTTGAATTAATCTTATCTGTCAATTTCAATATCTTACCCCCCAGCTGGGAATAACAATAAGGCTGTCCAGAAGTTAATCAATTTTAGTTCTCCCTTTCTACAAAATCAAATTACCCTGGCAGAACCCCATTCCCTCCTCATTGGGGCAATTTTGACATGAGCATCTTTCTATAGGTATCCTTATTTCACAGTGTTTTTAAACATGGGAAATGCCCACATGGGATGTGGGTTGGAGCAAACTAACAAGCTTAGAGAAGACAGGACAGAGCCAAACCTTGCTGCAACTCTATGACTGGTAGAAGATTTTTCTGTTGGTTGGTAAAACGCTGAAAGCATTTATTATAATTATTTAAATTCATTGGTCCTATCCCAACTCCAATAGGCTCTGGGCAGCAAAACTATACAAGAAAACCAATTACATTGCATATAATCAATGCACACATAGACAAATCAGGACAAAACCATTCAGCGGTTGTGTCAAACATCAGCATTTTACTAACTCAAGGAGTCCCACACCCCTTGATGAAAATTGTCCTACCTGCAAACGGCCTTCTCAACACCATGAAGAATGAAATGGGTGATAAGGAAGCAGTTAATAAACGCTCTCAGTAAGAAAGGCAGTTAGTTTCTTTCCTCTGTCCCAAAAGATGCTTTTTCAAGAGGCAACTGGACTTTTTGGTTTTTCTCTGAAGACGCTTCAAAGTCTTCAAAGAAAAAGCTTCCACATCTTGAAGTGAAAAAAAATGTGTGTGTGGTTTTTTTTTTTCAAAGTTGAAAGTCTAGTTGCCTCTTGAAAAAGCACCTTTGGGACAACCATGACCGGGGATGACTGAGAATCTCCATAGATAAGACAGTCTCCTTCTGAAAACCTCATTTCCACAAAGGTGATGAGTTGTAACACCCCCCCCCCCGTTTTGTTTTTTAAAAATAATGTGTGGGAAAGTTAAGACTTTCCTTTTAGTTTCTTATTAAGATACAGTGCGGTCCTTACTGACGGGAGCCGGACTGACCACCCAGCGTTTATTATAAATACCGCCAGAAATCCACCATGCAAGTTTATTTAGGAGGGGGGATTCTGTGCAGCGCCCTTTACTTGGCATGAGCAGGCTGGAAATCGACGGGGAGTAGCTATTTTCTGCCGCCGCCCCCCCCCCCCCCCGCTTCATCCCTGCCTCTTAAACCCGAGAGGAATTCAGCTGACATCCCCCCGCCCCGCTTCCAGCCCCGTAGCAAGCTTTCTCCTCCCTACCGTTTGGGGTGCGAGTAAAGAGCGAACCTCTTGCGCCTCCACCGCCCGCCTCCGCAGTCAGACGCTCGGCCGGAGCCGCGGCATCTTCCCCGTGAGCATGTCCTACCTCCCCCACCTCCTTTTAAGCCCCGCCTCTCCCAATCTCCTCCCGCCCCGGTGGGGTGAGAGGTCAACGCCGGGAAAAAAAAAAATGATGGCGGAAGAAGCTCCGCGAAGTTCCTCGAACGGGCGCAGAGGCTTAGGTTTGTTTTCATTTAAAAAAAAAAAACCTACTCTCCCCTCCCCATTCCCCGTTACATGGGCTATTCCTTCCTATTTCCTTCGAATCAATCACGGGACGGTCAAACCATTTCGCAGCTCTGTAGGGGTGGGCAAAGGGTTGTGGGGTGGCAAGGGAGAGAAGACGAGAGAAGAGGGTGGTATGCAGTGTATGGGGAATAAACCTCCAGGAAATCTTACCGTCACAACATCCAGATAATACCTATTCCCAGGATAGTGGCCGGAAAGAGATGCTTTTGGTTGGTCGGCTGGTTGTAATAATATTCCCAAGCTTCCAAAATGTATTTCTTTATTATACTTACACATATTTATTATACATTGTATTGACACTTTCTTTATTAGCAGCATTATGTAGGATCTCATTTAGAGTCGGAGACAGCAAGCATACCTAATACTCCAGCTTCCTTACTTCCCCTAGAACAGAGGTGGGAAACTATGGCCCCATTTATAACTTGTGGACTTCAATTCTCAAAATTATGGCTGGCTCAACTCTGGGAGTTTAAGTCCACAAGTCATAAAAGGGGCCATAGTTCCCCACCCATCTCCTAGAACAGCAACCCTGTGAGGTGGACTGGGCTGAGAAACACTGACTGACCCAAAGTCACCCAGCCGTTTTTTTATGCCAAAAGTGGGACTAGAACTCACCATCTTTTGGCTTCTACAATTTGTTCTTAATTTCTTCTTGTTCTTTTTATTAGGAAACAAACCACCTTTAAAAAATGAAAATGCTGCTGAAAGGTATTGTTTCTAAATATTATTTGCGTATATATATAAAAAATTTTCTATATGTCCCAACTTCCATGATCTCCTTTCATGTTATCCTCCCAACAGCCATATAAAAGAGCCTAGAGATATTTATGGGTCCTAAAGTTGTTGTGTGCAGATATTTGGAGCTGGAGCAGAGAAGATGCTTGGGATTCAAAGAGCTGTGGTTCTGTGGTTCAGAGTCCCCTAGTTGGTCAGAGAATTGAATCTTGATCATAGTGAGCAACCTTTTATATCAGGGTCACATGCATTTTTGAACAAGGCAGGTTTTTAATTTGAGTTTTGAAGGGGTTGTGTGTTCTATAACAAGCGTTTAACCCTTCTGTTTTGGGTTGTTTCTAATCTTAAAAGTTCAATTTTCCACAGCTAGAGTCCAGGGACTGCAGATTACCTCTTATCACTTTGCTACATCATACTATTGTAGAGATAATATACGAAGTATCGTAAATCCAAGATGATAACAAGACTTATCTTAACTATTCCTATTGCTGATGACGCTTATAATACTGTAGTCCTCAGCTTACAACCAATCACTTAGAGACCACTCAAACTTACAATCTACCTGAAAAAGGGGACTTGTGACTTGGATCTGAAATTCTGAGGGTCGCCCCCCCCCCCCGGTGACACCACCACGCTTCAGGTGTTTAGCAGCACAGCAATTTGTAGCACCCTAAGGTCACATGACTGTGATTTACTATGATTTTGCTGAAATCTGGCACTTTTGGTTTTTAGTAAAATTGCTCCATTGTGAATAATGTATTCGCTTAACAACCATGTCATTCTCTTAAAGACTGCAGCATTCAAACTTACAACTGCTGCATTTACTTAACAACCACCGTACAAAAGGTAAAAATGAGTCAGTCACATGACTGAATTGTTATACAACAGTAAAGGGCAGGTTCCATTACAATTGTAACTTGATTATTAAATAAGGACTTTATAGATAATGGTTTATTACCAGAGGACACAAATATCTTTGGGGGTCTTATTTATTCAAAGACAGCTCTCTGTAAGTTCTGTGGGAGACTTGCTCTAAAGTTTGTGATTATTGGATTACAGTCTAGATTTATTTAATCAGTTTGCTTATTACCAGCCTTGATTCTAGAAAGATTGTTTGATCCTGCTATGATCTTTGTAAATGAGTTTGGGGGAGATTGAATATACTCTTAACTGGCAAGCCCCTTTGTGCTCAGCTGCTAGTCATTATTCTAGAGCAAGACAGAAAATTCAAACCAAGTTTCAAAATAAACCTAAAAAAAAGGATGGTTTTATGTCATGAATATAACATTTCAATGAAATACATTATTTAAATAAAAGTTTTTAAGCAAACTGATATGAGTTGTCCAAATATTATATACACTACATTGTTAAATCCTTATTCATTTCTAGGAAAGCAGCACTTGAAGCTGCTATTAGGAAAAAAATTGAGTGTGAGCGGAAAGCATTGCAAGTTGTTGAACACCTGTTGGAAGATGACATTACTGAAGAATTCTTTGTGGATTGTGTATGTTCTTTCCTAAACTTACTTCTCTTTACATTTTTGGTTGTTCCTACATGTATTAGGACTGAAACTGAAATGCTGGTTTAAATATTAAACACTTGAATGTGATATTGTTGTCAACTTTCTGGGTTCAACTTTAGTCATATTACAATATGCTTATCATGTGCGGAGTTGATAAAGGACCTGTGGTAGCACAGTGGTTTGAATGCAGTATTGCAGGCTAACTCCGCCCAAAATCCTGTGTTCAATCCTGATTAGCTCAAGGTTAATTCAGCCTTCTGTCCTTCTGAAGTCGGTAAAATGAGGACCCAGATTGTTGGGAGCAACATGCTGATATTTTTAAACCACTCAGAGAGTGCTGTAAAGCATTATGGAGTGGTATATAAGTCTAAATGCTAATGCTAAAAAGTGTACTATAGTGACCATGTTCACTAATACTAAGGCAACATTTTTACCGGTAGTTGGTTAAACAAACCTCAAGTTCATACATGCTGGTAAGACAAAATGAATGAGACAATATACTATGCCACATGGCTCTTTTGTGAACAAGTCTTGCGTTTTTAGAAAACTTTTCTGATATCTGAAAGTTACAGAAGGAAATATAAAAATGTCATTGGAGAAGGCAAGGGGGAAATTCCTCCCTCTGTTTTTATGTGAGAGGATTTCTGTGGGAGACCTAATGCCTTAACTTAAATTTGTATTTTTTTTAAAAAAGGAGTAAGACTGAAATTTTTGGATTTGCCAGTTGAACTTTGGCTTTTGAATAGGTTAGAAATATCATGCTATATTAAATATCTAGTTAGTTTTTAGCCTCCTAAATTCTAAATCTTTGCGTACATTACCAGATGAAAATAATTTTAACAGGATCCTCTTGGTTTCGTCATTTCAGGGGAGGCTTATAACATCTTCTCACTATCAGGATGTGGTAGAAGAACGATTTATCATCAAGATATGTGGCTACCCTCTCTGTCAAAATAAGCTACAGAAGGTAAGAGTTTATACATGGGGTGCGTGCTCTTGTCATTTTTCATTCAAAATATATTTCTTCCAGGGAATTGACTCACACTAGCCTTTTGCTTATTTTGGTTAAATGAGATCAATTGAAGTTCACTCTCTCACACTTTTCTCTATGTAAAGATTAGGATTACCCAAAGTCAGTTAAGTTAAATTGATGTTCAGCATGACTGGAAAAAAAAGGGGGCTCAGAAACTTGGCTCCAAATTGTTTAATATTATTCAATGCATATAATGCAGAACAGTCATTTTGTAGAATCCACAAGGGTTCAGGCATTGTTATGATTTTATTTTTTTTATAAAGAGTTTTTATTATTTTAAAAACACATAACATACAAAACATAAAAACATAAAACCATCTTCCATTTTATATACATATAGTGTATCAGTTGATTACAAATCTTTTGTGCTATCCTTTTATAGTCATTTACTCACAGTTTATATCAATTTTTACATTGTCAAACTAACATATGCTTATATATTTATCAGTTATTAATCATCCATGACTATTTATTCTATCACTTGATACGAGATATTCCAAATTTTATCTTAAAATTTATGTTATACTTTCAACCAATGGTTATATATGTCTATATTATATTTTATATCAATCTATTAAATTTCTATCACAGAATTATCTAGTCTATTACATTACCATGTCTTTTTATCCAACTATTGATAAAACAAATCCCATATCATATAAAATTGTTTATCTTCTTGTTCTCTAATTTCAAATGTCAATTAACCCATTTCAGCACAATCCATAATTTTCTTAATAACTTCCTCTTGCATAGGTATTTTATCGTTTTTCCAATTCTTAGCAAATACAATCCTAGCCACTGTTAATACATTTACAATCAAATATTTCAACTCTTTGCTGTATATTTCCGGTATAATTCCCAATAAAAAGATCTCTGGTTTAAAGTCTACATGTTGTTTTATCATTTTTTTCCAACCATGTGTGGATTTTAGTCCAATATTTCTTTGCATCCGAGCATGTCCACCACATATGGTAATATGAACCAGGTATCTGATGACATTTCCAACGTTTATCTAATGTATTCTTAAACATTCTTGCTATTCCTGTCGGGGGGAAAAAGCTACCTGTAAAACATCTTATACAAATTTTCTTTATATGCAGTTGACATTGTCATTTTATAATTTTGAGACCACAATTTTTGCCATTTTTCTAAATCAATCCCATATCCAAATTTTTTTCCCCCAAGCAATCATCGTTTCTTTAACTTGTTCCTCCTCCAATTTAAATTCTAATAAGTGTCCATAAAGTTTTTTAATTAACCTTTTCATCAGTACCCATCAAAATTTTATATAAATCAGTCAACTTATCATAAATGCCCAACAGCAAGTCATGCCCTTCTAAGGTCAATAATCTATTGTTCCTTAATGTTATCCATTCCTTTACCCACATCAAATTTGTCGATCTTCCTGTTTAATTAAATGAAAGAATGTCTTGGACAGAGGAAAATGTTCCATGCAATAAGTAATATTATTCCTGAAGGATTCTCTCTCTGTGTGGCCTACTTATTCATTTTGAGATGCTTGGCATTGATTTAGTAGCTCATAAGATGCTTCACGTGCATAGAAAAGAATCAGATACAGATAATGACACAGTCAGTCTGATACAGGCAGCAGAAAAGTACAGTACCAAAGAGGAAAAAGATAAGTGAGGGAAAGAGTGCCTAAAGTTAATACAGGTAATTGAATGAGATAGTATGATGTTTTTAAAAACTGTGATAAATATATGATTTGAAAGAGAAGCATGCTGAACTAAGTTAATCAACTAACTTCTTTGCATTTCTTACATTTAAGGTGCCAAAACAAAAGTATAAAATTTCTACAAAAACAAACAAAGTATATGATATTACTGAAAGAAAGGTAAGTTTAAAACCATTCCTAAAGTTATTGTGTTTCATTTATTGTTTCACAAGAAAGAGCTTCAAAGAAATCTAGGCTATGTCCATGAGCCCCAGGCAGCTTTTTTTATCCTGATTTTCACTTACTGTTTTTTCAGTCAATTTGTCTGCCATTGTAGTTGGATTTTCTTTTCTACATTACTCTACCAGTGTGGTTGGGTGTTCTTTTCATTCCCAGGTTATTCAAAGCTATTTCACCTAAATGTCTTTTAAAACAAACCAACATAAGTTGATTCCGTCAGACAATGTTTAACTTGAGCAAATAAATATTGGCTTAATTTGTATATTGCACTAGGTCATAGTTTGCTCAGTGATGGGTTATTGGCTGGAATCACACTGAACAAAAACGGTACCATAAACTATAATGTGCACCCACAAAGGCTAAATCTGTACAGTGTTCAGGGGTAGAGCAAATAAATGTGATTTGACAGGAACTCAGATCAGAAAATAATTTTCCTTCATTATGTTGCTTTGCTGCTCTTCTAATTTGAAATCTAGATGTACAAGTGCCACCTAACCAAGGTTGATGTCCTCATATGGTTCACCATAGACAGAATGCTTAACCACTGACTGTTTCCCAAATGACATGACAAATGGCAATTATCATTGTCTTTCTCTTGGCTAAGAAGTTCTGTTTTTTTTAACATCAAGAAGAGTACAGTAACCTGATTGGGGTTGGATTCACTATGTTCAATGGTAGGAGAATATAAATCACTTGTCTCCCCAGTTCATTTCTTGTGCAGTGTGTAAAATCATACTTGGTGCTGCTGCAAAAACTTCATTTTGCAGCAACTGCCAACTATCCTCTGCCCAGGATCAGAGAATAAACCGTCCACTCGTTTGAACAGCAGGCCAATGTTCCAGTGAATCAGCCAAGAACAAACTATATTTGCCGACTTTAGTTAAGGCACTCCATATTATTTACAATTTGCCTTCTGAATAGTTGGCATGCACACTGAATAAAATGGAGCTGGTACTTTGTCTGGTATTTGGAATGCTTGGTAACATCAGCTACTCCTAGAAAAGCATACCAGACACTAAAGGGAGAAAACAAATAAAGGACAATAAATGTTATACTGTAGTATGTTGACTTCAGCCTACTTGCTATTGTAGAACCGATGGGGGAAAAATGAGAAAAAGACTCAAGAGGTACTAAGTTAACATGTCTGAGAACTCAATAAACTTGTAGGCTACAACTCTTAGAAGTTTCAGGAAAATTATTTTCCTATATATTCTCTATCTTTATTGGGTATTGACCATTCCAGTTCAAACTGTGCTTGGGAGAATACCCCTCTCTCCAAAAATGTGTTCATTGAATCTTTATATCCATCTTTCAATCTAACTTTGCACCATCTTTATTTTGTTACACTGAAGAAATAACTGTTGTGCTTATTCTTTTTGTGGGGAGCAGCGTTTTTGCAGCAATTTTTGTTACAAAGCATCAAAATACTTTGAGGGCCAAATATCCAAAACTCCAGTGTGGCTTCGAGAAGAAGAAAGGTACTTAGATGACTCATATTTCTTCCTCTGATTTCTTAAAAATTCAAAAAATCATGCACTATTTGTAAAGATTGTCTTATCTGACCAATACGTATTTTAGATTTTTTTTTTCTCCAGGCCAACTGCTGATTTCTAATGTTATGGATTGTCGGACATAAAATTTGATGCTGTTGCTAATGGGGGAAAAACAGGTGTTGGTGGATGTTAATAGGAAAAAAACAGAAACATAAGAAAAATAGTTTTTATTTGTCAAAGAATATAATTCATATCATTTAATCAAAGCTTGTCCTATTGATAGCCAGTATGTTTATGTTTAAATAGGAGATCCATACAAATCCATATTAAATGAGACTTAATGTAAAAAAAGTCCCCTAAATTTGCTTTATGACAAATCAGATTATTAGGTTATGGATTTCACTACAGTCTAGTACTAGTCTGCCTGACAGAAATCTTCCAGGCTTCCTAACAGAGATTTACCTCACTTTAAGCTATAATTTGATTTCATTTAGCATATTGTGTGAATTCAGACTGTTGTGCCTTACTAAGGAACATGATACATGAACCCATCCATTACTTTCCCAGACTTGAAGCTTGAACTGAGCGATGCTCAGAGGTATGAAGTACAGTTTCCAAAGCATCCTGGTTTGGTTAGGGTTATAACTGGCATACCAGCCAAAGTTGAATAAAGGCATCCCGTGACTGGTTAAGCAGGCTGCTGTTTAATTGTTTGTCAATCCATATCCTATATTGATTGCTTTTGTTTTAGATCATTACAATTAACTGGCTTCTCTCCAAGGTGTAGTAGCGTAACAGATTGTATACATCTTCAGCCTGCCCTGGGTAGGGGAAAATACTGCTATTACTATTGCTTTACCACCGGTACATCTAAGGATCATTGAAGCATTTCTTATTCAAGGACTGAAGACAAAATGAAGGCAATGTTATGAAGACAAAGCAGAAAAATGATATTGTCAGGGCATGTTTGTGCTTTGATTAGGTACGGAAGAGAAGGACCCATTTTAAATATTGGTGATCAGTCTAATCATAATTAAAAAGGCAAGGGAGAAAATTTTTCCAAGGATGCAGAGAGCTGGGATCAAATTGTGTTTTACTATTTGTTAATAACAGGGAAACGGTAGCCAGCACTGCTCTGCTTGATTTGGAAACCATGCCTTATTTGAAGTCTAGATAAGACCTTTTCACCTGAAAATCAGGATTATCTTGCCTAATCTTGTTGGAGTACTTGTTCTAATTTTAGTGATGATACCAAGCAAGGACTGCCATCTTTAAATGCTTCCACATGCAGCATTTATTGTATATAATAATTCATAAATTTTTAAAAGGGTTGTAGGGATTTAGATATTTGTTGCATTTAGGAATTCTTTTCTTGTGTTTCCTGTCCCTCTTTTTTTCCCTTTCATATAATGATAAATAATATAGCTGAATAGCGTCCTTTTCTGTAGCACTAAACACCCCCCCTCCAATCTGGATGCAGTTTATAGCAAACAAGATAATGTAACAAGACATCAAAGGGAACTGTCCAAAAGTATAAGAACAGGTCTAGGCTAAAAAATTATGACTTGCAACTAACCCAGTATCCACTGGGTGTCAATGTCTCATAAGGTATAGCTGTTACCAAGAAATAAAACCATACAGATTTAATGAATAGAACTCAAAATCTATTGTATAACAAAAATAGCAAAAATAAATATTATAACATTAAAAATATTTTTCCTATTAGATGCCTATGCAATTGGAACAATCTTTTTTTTTTAATTTGAAGTTCCAAGTAGAGAAAAATCTATTTTAATTAGACTGTTCCAAAACTATCTCAAGAGAATCATGGTATTTAGAAGCTATTCATTTCTTAAAAGGTTCACTTCCCTCCTTCACGCATAGAAGAATGTGAAGATAAGTCTAAGCCAGAAGGGCCTTCGCCTAGATTAACCTGATATGCTGATTTCATCCTGGCTTGTTAGAATTCCCTTCCCTTCATTCTTCGTGTCTTAATCACTTCACATTGCAAAGCACTCTGTATGGGGCTTCCCTTGAAAATTACTTGGAAGCTACACCTAGCTATAGGGGGCCTTTATGTCCGTACCTTGGTAAGTCTATGATTCCTCTACTGCTTGCACAAGTTGCATTGGTTACCAAGGTGAGCTTCTGAGTGCAATTCAGAACGCTGGTTGTGACATATAAGCAGCATATAGTCTGGTTACCTGAGGGTTCATTCTTCCAGAGTAGGCATGGTGCAGATCCCAGCTTTAACATACAGGTAGTCTTCAACTAACCACAGTTCATTTAGTGATCGTTCGAAGTTACAACAGCACTGAAAAAAACGACGTGACCGTTTTTCACATTTACGACCATTGCAGCATCTACATGATCAAGATTAGAATGCTTGGCTTATATTTATGAGCATTGCAGCATCCTGGGGTCATGTGGTGGTGGTCATGTAACTGCAGGATGCTGTGACAGTCATACATGCCCACATTTTAATAACCTGACAGCAAAAACCCTGCAACAGGCAAAAGTGTGAGGATCGGTCATGAGGTTACAATTTCAGGTCCATCATTATTTCTAATGGCTGTTATACAGAACAGTTGTAAAGTGGGGACTACATGTAGTGTCATCTAATGGATCTCAGGTGGCATGCCTTTTCTGTCATGGCATCTGCCTTTTGAATGGCCTCTCCTCAGAGGTTCATAACTGTCCTTCATCCTGTATCCTTTCATTCATCCTTAAAGATCTGGCTGCTTCCCCAGGTCTTCTCTTTCCCCAGATTAGCCAGTAGTTTTTCTGTCAGGCTTTAACCTGTTTTTGGCTTTTATATCTTTATTGGCTCATGCCATTTTGTTCGTTAATTTTATTGTAAGTATCCAAAGTTGATTGGCTGGGACACAGTGGGGGTATTCAAATTTCTGTGGGGGTGGCTTGGTGGGGGTGGTTTGGTGGACGTGTCTAAAATCCCCATTCCCTCCTCACCCAACTAACCTGCTTTCCAGCTCCGTTCTCCTGTGCAGAACAACAAAAGAAGACCCAGCCAATCAGCTGGGATTCGGGAGGCAGAGAATAGATGGGGATGGGGCCAAACAGAAGTGGTATTTACCAGTTCTCCAAACTACTCAAAATTTCTGCTACCGGTTCTCCAGAACCTGTCAGAACTGGCTGAATACCACCTCTGCTGGGACAGCTTTGTAACTTTAATGAAATAAATAAAATAATCCAAAGAAATGATAGACCTGTAATTGGTTCTGATCATGGGAAGTCTAGATAGCAATATGTTGGAGTCAACTTAATGGGATTCTTGTCTTGATTGAAAGGGTGGTTCCTTCCAAGTCTTTGAAGATCTGGGGTTCAGCTTTTAGTGAACAGATGACCAGGTCAAACCACAGATAAGAGATGAGAGAAGATACAAATAAGTTTGGAACATTAAAAGTATTAGTAGTTTTTAGAGAACTCTTTTTAAGTCTAAAATTCAGGCTACAATCCTAAGCTTGCATATTAGGGAATAAGCCTCTTGATTATCATACAACTTTATTGCTGTATAAATATGTATTAATTGCACCTACAATTTGTGTCATTTTATTAATCCGAATGTTAATTATCAGTTCCCCACATTTTCAGGTTCATTACATCAGGTAAATGTTTAATACTGTTTCAATCTTAAAAATGCTTTCAAAACCTGATAAATAATATTTGAATAATTGATCTGTGAATTAAGAATAACAGTTGATTAATAGTTTATTGGCTTGTTGCAGAACCAAACCTGTGCAAAACTTAAATGAGTTCGTTAGTGATTACAATCAGACTTGTCACAGAATATATTTTTCTGTCTTTTTTTCAAGGCCACCAACTATTGAGCTGCTAAAGAAAGAGTCAAGGTAGGGTAGAAAATTTCACTTTCAGAGCTGCAATACAGTTGAATGAAGTCTCTGATTTCCCACTCTCTGCTTCTCTGTCAAGTAGCCACCATTATTCTCATCCCCACAAAGCCCTGCTGGCTTGCCTTGATTAGTTGGGTATTTTTCTCCCAGTCTGAAAAGCCTGTTTGATCTGTATGATTTTCATCTGGCCCTAGTGGTGTAATTGAACCTGTTGAAACATGAGCCAAGTACAGTGTTTGCTCTTGAATCTGCTGCAGCAGTTTTTGTCTATGGTTTTCTTTGCAAAAGAAATGGGGCCAATTATATGTGCTGAAAGCTTGTTTACATCTTTAGATAATCCATTAAATAAATAGGCCCATTTGGTGCTTTATTTTTTTTTTTAAGCAAGCTTTTGCTGTATCTGCAATCTGTGTGTTTTAAAAGAATGGCTGTGTTTGCTAGAAGTCTTGTCTGCATTTAAAATACAAAGCCAATTCATGGTACATACTGTTCTAACGTTGTAATGTGGAGGTGGGAAATCTGTGGTATGGCTTTTTAATGTGCTTTTTGATCAAATAATAGGGCTGCTAAATCTATAAAGTAGGATTAAAACCAGTGTATCAAAATCATGGTTTTCAAAGCAAAAAAGGGTAACTGGCACCTACTTTACCATTTGTTTGATGCCATGAAAATAACCTTTCTGTTTATGTGGCCTTAATGACTTGCTAAAATAATGCAAATGACCAGCTGTCTGCAAGGAATATAAATCCTTCCATTCCCCACCATCCAGTCAGAGCTGAAGAAGCTTCTTCAATGAGAAGCGAAACATCTTCAAAGAAAAAACAAGAAAAATCCAGTTGCCTCTTGAAAAAGCACTTTGGGGACAACTATGACCTAGATGACTGAAAATCTCCATTGACAGTCCATTTCGTACTTAATATTCTGCCCAAAGACTGGAGAATGAGTGATTTAGACAGTTTTTAAAGAATGTGAACATGGGTAGTTCCATTGAATTTCTGTGTGGGGACGAATTGATTCATTCAGATACTAAGTAAAATGATTTATTCTCAGAAGAGGCAAATTAGATAGAGACAACTGACAGCATGCTATAGGGATTAATAAATTCTTTAGGTCTTTAGAGATTTTCAGTTATAGTAGTCAACCAGTAATAGAATGTTGCTGCTGCTGTTATTATTATTCTCCAAATAGAGCAAAGCATTTTTAATGGTTAATTATTCTTCGATGTTGCTTCCCCAAATAAAAGCTTGTGTGGTCTCTTGCTTAAATCTTAAGTTCTGGAGGATTGATTAGTTGAGTCTTATGTGCTGTGGATATGTGACTTTGAAATCATAAAAGAGCTCTTTTGTGTTCCTGTGGAAAATGCTTCAGGTTCAATATATATTCGATCCTAAAAAAGCCTGGTTTCATATCAAAACAGGTTATCCAAAGTTTACTGGAAGCATTTTAACTCTGTGTTGACAGCTCCTGCTTGAAATAGCTAGGTTACAAGGCCAGAATAGCATTGAAATACTGGTAATAAGTCTGAAAAAAAAAAAAGGAATCTGAACTCAAAACTGAGCATTTCAGCTGGAGACAATTTGAATTTAAAAGCTTTGGAATTGTTTTTCCTTTTTCTCAAGAATGGTTGAAAGAAGGCCCTAAACCAAACTTATTTTGCTATAATCCTTCCATCTAAAGCATTTCCCATAAAGATCATTAAAGAAATTTCTACAAAGGCTTGCAGAGTTTAAAAATTAAATTTATCCAATTTAATTTCCAGACATCCTATTATACTCAGCAATTTGGCAATTCTTTCCCTCACAAACCTATTTTATTTAATAAAATTTTAATATTTATATATTATATATTTTATAGTTATCAGTGATGGCATCATTAATGTGTGTGAGGCCAAATTATTTATTTAAGCATCTGCCAGGAACTGTCTTATGTATTGTGCAGATAGTAAAACAGAAGCTATACTACAAAAGGGAAATAAAATACTAAAGGCAGTGTGAATGAATAGAAAGGAAAAGAAAATTACACTTTGAAATGAAAGACAGAATCAGATTGGTGACATTTTTCTTACTGCACTAGTGAGAAAATGACTTTTTTTGTAATTTGTATCTTTAGTTAGTATTTTAATTTTTTTCAGATTTTTTTGTAAGATTAAAGATTTTTGTTAGAAAAAATAAAAGGTACTAATTTTTTTTTTTAAAAAAACCTCTTTAGCTTTACAGCCCTACAGCTTTTACAGTTATTTTAAATTAAAATAACCAAACTACTTAAAGTCAACATCAACTCCAACTATTTAATATCACAGTGGGAGGGAGGGAGATTTTGTGTAAACTGGCTAAATGGCAGATTTAAACAAAAAACAATGGCTACAGCAACAAGGAAAGGTTTTGTTCTTTCTTTCTGTCCAAATTTGCTCCTTCTTTTTCCTTCTTGCTCTTCGTTGTAATCTGTTCTACCACATGGTCTCTGCTTCCTCTCCTTTAGGCAGCCTAAACATAGGCCTGTAGATTGTAATTATGACAGGAAACCCAAGGAAGGGCAGGTCGGATGATGGCCTATCTGACTTCCACATGTACTTCCCGCTTTTTTAGACAGAAGAAAGTAGGTCTTCATCTGGTTTATTCCTGGCGTTCAGCCAAGGAACATGCTTTTTAAAACAGACATTTTATGTATTACTGTCTGTGTGTTTCTTATTGTCATTTTTATTTCTATTGACAGTGGCTACTCTGGGAAGGAAATAAAATTAGTCAGCGAAAGAATTAAAGCCTTAGACATTGAAAATCCTACTCCTGCAGAAATCCATCATGACTCTGACTTAGGCAGTGAAAGTAACAGTGATGCTGAGCAGGAGTTTGTTTCTTCTGTTCTACACGAGAATCTTTCAAATGCAGAGAAGTTGGCCAGGAAGCCCCTCAAGAGCATCCTCAAAAAAAGTTCTACCAAGAGAGCCGAATCCAAGCTCTTCACCCCAGAGGATACGCTTGATGAGACTTCAACCCAACTAAGCAAAGGCACATCAGAGGGTAATATTCAGGGGGAAGAAGCTTGCCATTCTCAAAATGTTCTTGAAAATGTACAGGTCTCTGAAAATCTTGGAAATAACACTAGCTGCTCCCAAGTAGTGTTTCTGGGAGTGAGCCAAAAAGGGGCAGACCAATTTAAAAGGTTACTTGCTCAATCAAAACTGTCTGTCAGAAGTCCAGCAGACTCCCTTGCAGCCAAAGATAGCTTGTTAGAGAGCCTTTGGAAGACATTTACTGAATGGAGGAGTGAAGAGACGTTAAAGTTTCTCCATGGCTCTCGCAGCACCTCTATTCATCTACTGCAGCACACCCAGCCAAATGACTCTGAGAAGGAAGAGCTTGATGAAGATGATTTGGAAAATGCCAGTAGCGGTGAAGCTGTATCCCCAAAAGACACTTTAAACAGCCTAGATCAGTCTTTGCCTTTCCAGGACTCTAGGACAGCTTCCAAACCGTTACCGAGCTTTGAAAATTTAAAAAAAGAGACCTTACAGTTGGAATTAAAGGTGAGCGAATTTTACAAAGGAAAGTTCACTGCCATCGAAGAAGAGGATTTGGCAATGCAATCAGAAAGGGAACAGCAGAATGGGAAGTCTCAAGTAAGTATCCTGAAAATAAAGGAAGTGGTTATAATGTCAACCTTCAGGTGTTGGGCCCAAGCTGAATAGAGTTCCTCCCTGAAGGAATACAATATGAATCTCGGTTCTGGTTGCCTGTTATTGTTTTCAGTTGTATTTTGGGGGAAGCGGGGGGTGGGGGTTGGTTTATGATTGGATGCTGCTCAAATTGAGCTTGAGGTCGTAATGCAGATTTTTAAAAGATTTTTTTTATCCATCTTTATCTTTATTATTTTTTATAAATAACTCAAGGTAATTATTAAAAAAATGAAGAAGGTACTTAATACTCCTTCCTTCTCTTATTTTCATTACAACAAGAACGCTATGAGATAGGTTGCGCTAAGAAAAAGTGACTGGCCCTAAGTTACACAGCTGGCTTTCACATCTAAGACAGGCCTGGAACTCTCAGTCTCTTGGTTTCTAGGCAAACACCTTAACCCGCTAGATCAAACTGGCTTTTGTTTTTATTTTATTTTTATTTCTCCAAGAAGAGCAAATTTATGAGTTCTTGAAGGATCCCATATAAAAGCTTTTTTGTTTGCCATTGTTCAAATAAATTATTTTACCTCACAATTATTCAATGTCTTCTATATTCACTTTGGTTTATGATTCACCAAAGACGATCTTAGTATATTTTGCCAACACAGGTACCATTTTAACCTATTTGTTATAACCTTTCAGTGTTATATTCTCTATATCATATTTGTGCTATTTTTACACTATTTAGGACAATGAACAGTGGAGTCCCATTTTGCCTCTTGTGGATTCTAAAGCTCAGCAGCAAATACGGACCCGGATTGTGCTTGAAAAACTGCAAAAAACGTAAGCATCTTTTTGCATCAGCTGTTGATATATATATATACATATATGTTCAAAAAACTAAATATACAGAAACAGTTAACTTGGAAGGGATAATATGCTTCATTGCCATTAATTGTAATGTATCAACCCATCTTAAAAACATTTTTAATAACTGTAAAATGAAATCATGGTTTGCTTAATAAATCTTTATTAATACTATGTGCAACCATGAACATAGTTGATGTTTTGCTAATCAAGTTGCTAGCTTCTTCAGGTTAGATTTGAATCCTGGATTGTTTCATTTTGTTATAGCTAAATTCAAAATCCTGATTTATTCCTCGTTTGTTTCGTATTCCATACATTTCTTCTGTATACCCCACAAAAGAAAACAAATGTGGAATTTTGAGAATGTGTAAGAAAGAATTATTCTTTGTTCAGCAAAGAAATAATTCCTTATACATTAGTCAAATGCATGTCTTTGTGATAGTTAGAGAGATGACAAAATTTTACCTGACATCTGATGAAGTGTAAAGGAAATATGATTAATGACATATATGAAACTTCATTTGGAATTTAAGTGAAGTACATATTCTAATACTTTTAACTAAGTTTGCTTTGTGTTTCTCTCTCCCTCTGTGTTTCAGTGTACCTGCTGTTTTGGGCCCGCTTAAGATTCCTTTTGGTGATGTTTATAGTGAACTGAGAAATCTTGTAAAAACATTTAGGTAAATATAAAATAATATAAAAGAATCTCAAGGTTTAACTTATTAAGCAATGACAGATTGATGCTTGCTAAAGAAAATGTGGCTGAAGAATTAGAATCCTACAATTCAAATAATAGATCACATTGTCTGACCAATTTTCTTAAGGCAGCATAGCTTGAAATTAAACATAATATTCCTAAACTTTTTATCTAGTATATGGAAAACTTAAAATCTTGTGTTGTTAGTGATGTGCAGTACAGATTCTGGCTTTACAAAGCAAAATTTAGTATCTTGAGATTTGTCTCACGTTTCATTCTATATTTTAAAATATTTACTTGATGGTTCTGGGCTCCACAGAATTTATTTCTGGGCTCCACAGAATATAATAGAACTGGAGAAAGTGCGTACAATGTTTTGAATTGCCTGTCTTTAAGAAAAGACTATAAGGGTTGGGTCACATTAGCTTGGAAGTAGGTGCTGGAGGACTAACAGTTCTGCTTTCTGAGGGTTGTTTTTTTTTGTCCTCTAGTTCTTCAGATTGTTCATTTCTTCTTTCACTAGTGACCTGCTTGCCTGCTACTATACTTTTCTCCTGCCTTCTCGGGGAAGGAAAGACCGGTATTTTAGTCCTTATGAAATGATTAAATTCAAAACTGTAGCAACCATTTGCTAAAGAAAGAGAAAAAAGAATTAAACTATCCTGCCTATCGAACAGGAAAGTAAAATTAAAAAGAATTAGACCTGGAAAACTTTTTCAGGTGAAATTCAAGAAATGTCCTATTGTATGACATAAAACACAGAGTCATTTCTGGGGGAATGGAGGCAGCGGGGGAAGCCGTTTCAGCTTTAAAACATAAAGTGTTTAAAAAAAATGTGGTAAACTCAGCAGCAGCAATTTTCAGCTCCATCAGTTTTTAAAGGAGCACAAAATTTCATCTTCTGATCTGCACCATTTCATTCAGTCACTGGAAAGTACACTAAAGAGTTCTCTGGAGACATTATAGGATAGTTATAGTTCTTTAGCCAAGTCCCTCAGTGCCTGTATGCTTTTGTTACACAAACCGAGATGTCAAATAATCTCCAGGGTTGTCTTGAGTGTTCTGCTGGAAAAATGATGTGGAAGGAGGTGAAAAGACAACATTGAAATCCTGGCTGAATACAGAAGTTGGCAAATATGATTTTGGTTGTTGCTATTTAAATGCATTTAAATACTTATAAATGCTGTTGGAAGGGACAGCCTTTTGGAATCAAGCGATGTTTTTCTGGTTAAAGGTTTAATTTGCATGAAGTTTTAATTGGGAAATGGAACGAATGCTTTGCTGCAATAAATCATGGATTGATGTTACGTATTCACTGAGACAGAATTGTCAATATTTAAACCTTATAAGTACTTTACTAACATACTTCTTTTAGTTGCTGACTGCCAAATTGATTGAATTAGCACATCTGCCTTGGGAAAGGGCATGTTTGTCTGCTCAATCCTTGCCCTTTCCAGTGTGGCCTTCTTGGTATCTTTCAAATATATGGATTACAGTTCCCAGAATTCCCAACAGATTGACCAGGGGTCACACTGAGTGAGAATTCTAAGGGCAGTTCTGTAATTCAGCACAGCTGCAGAACGTTTTGTTGGGGAAGTAGTCCAAATCTTCTCCCTTTTCAGATAACTAGATTTTAAGAAAGCTTTTTTTAAAGTATTTCTATTCTGCTTTTCTCCATGATGATAGGGCACAGATTGTTGGCAAAAAAACCCTAAATGCATAAGAAGATTCTTTGAAAGACAACATAGTTTTATGAGGCCTGAAGGAATGATGAAAAAGTACACTCCTTCAATTGTAGATTAACATTCTTCCGTTTATAATCTTAGCCTACAACTTTCATTATTTTCAGGTCTGCACAGTTAGTGATAGTTTGGCTTCTAATTGATAAAGAGTACGCTATCTCTAAGGCATCAATATGGACAGGTTGCTTTAGATAATGATGCTGCCGTGTTATCCACAACAAGGCTGTTGCAACTGCTACAACTCTTTGAAGCTCCTATGTAAACAACAGGAGGAGCCAAAATGTACTGCTTAGCAACCAACTCTAGGTAGCTCCAGTTGTGTTTGTCCTTGGAAAAATCCCTCTCTCCCTTCCTGAGAGTAAAGATCTGGTAGGGATGAGGGGAACACAATTGTGGAAGTGCTTCACTTTTTAGACCATACATGAACTTAATGCAAAAGGAACAAAATGTACCAAGAGTAAAGCTCTCAGTTTCTGTTGCACATGGACTTTATATGCAAACACATGTTTTTTAAAAAAGTATAAAAATAAATATGTTGAGATGGGGTATCTTTTCTTAGACCCAATGTATCTTAGTACTTGATAACACGTTGATAAAATCAATCAGAATATGGAAAACGAAAGGGAGGTCCATTATCCTCAAACATTTTTTTTGTTGATATGTTTCCATTTTTGCATAGTTTAGAAACTTCCAAGAACATTCCACACACCCTCACGTTTTGTGTCTTTCATTTTTACATATAAAAAAAAAATAATCTGTGGTTTTATCTGACATAACAAAAACATACGCATTTCTAAAATTGGTGGATTTTTTTTTTAAATAAAGATAATCCTTTACTTATGACCACAATTGAGCCCAAAATTTATATTGTTAAATGAGAAATTTGTGAGTAGAGTAGAGTAGGGTAGAGTAGAGTAGAACAGAACAGAATACTTTATTGGCCAAGTGTGATTGGACGCACAAGGATTTTGTCTTGGTGCAAATGCTCTCAGTGTACATAAAAGAAAAGATACATTCGTCAAGAATCACAAGGAACAACACTTAATAATAGTCATAGAGTACAATAAACAATCAAATCATACTAGGAAACAATATAAATCGTAAGGATGCAAATGACAAAGTTACAGTCATACTGTCACAAGTGGGTGGGGATGGGTGATAAGAAGTGATGAGAAGATTAATAGTAATGCAGACTTTGTAAATAGTTGGACAGTGTTGAGGGAATTACTTGTTTAGCAGAGTGATGGCTTTCGGAGGAAAACTGTCCTTGTGTCTAGTTGTTCTGGTGTGCAGTGCTCTATAGCATCGTTTTGAGGGTAGGAGTTGAAACAGTTTATGTCCGGGATGTGAGGGGTCTGTAAATATTTTCACCTCTTTTTGATTCGTGCAGTATACAGGTCCTCAATTGAAGTCAGGTTGGTGGTAATTGTTTTTTCTACAGTCCTAATTACTCTCTGAAGTCTGTGTCTGTCTTGTTGAGTTGCAGAACCAACAAGTTTGTGAGTTTTGCCCCATTTTACGACTTTTCTTGTCACATTTGTTAAGCAAATCACTGCAGTTGTTAAATTAGTAACACGTTTGTTACTAATTTAGTAAATTTAAATTTACTTAATTTAACACTTAACACTGTTGATAAGTGAATCTGGTTTCCACATTAACTTTGCTGGTCAGAAGATCGCAAAAGTGGATCACGTGATGCCGGGGACAATGCAACCATCATAAATATCCAGTTGTCAAATCACATCACCGTGGAGATGCAAATCACATGACCGTGGAGATGCTCCAGTGGTCATAAGTGTGAAAAGTGGTCATAAGTCACTTTTTTCAATGTTGTAGCTTCTAATGGTCACTAAATGAACTGTTGTAAGTCAAGGACTGTATTGTGTTTTAAAAGAGCATTATCTGCAGAAAAGCCAAAGGAGTACAGTAGTGAACCTGTTCTGCATAGCATATACTCCTGACTAATTCTTTTTCTCTTCTGAAACCTCAGCTTCAGTGCACCTTATTTTTCAAAGGCGATTGCCCCCCCCCACCTCTCTTTCTCTCTCTAAGTCTAAAAGGTTTCATGCTTGTGGATTACTTGCTTCAGACCAGCAGGGCTTTTGTAGGATGCTTGTGCAAATTTCATCCGGGACAGAAATTGTAGCCAAAAAGCTTTTGACCGGGGGAGTCCTAACTCCTTCTCCAGCCTAGTGATAGCTTAGCTCACTATCTGCTACTATATTCAGTTCCACTGAGCACATTATGGATGTCTCTGGGCTTCCTCTGCTATAAGTACCATATTGATGGCAACAACTGGTGTTCAGACCTTGCCAATCAATACTGACATTTAATAAGAGTTAATTGACACAAACAACCGCTTCTTGGAGTTGGGACACAACCATGATTCCTTCTTGATCCATGATCAGTAATGGCTCCCTTGTAGGGCATTGAAACAAAGGTGCTTTCCTCTCTCCTGTCTAACAGAGTTCTTTCTCCCCAGTGATTTGAGGCCTGTCTCTTCCATCTCATCTCATCTCATCAGGGCAGCTTAACTGGAAAGTTACATATGAATTGCTTGTCAGGATGATTCTGTCAGGCATCTTGTCTTAAGTGTTTACTCCTGTCATCAGTGTTTAATCTAGACCTTCATCCTTTGTTTCTGTCGGTAACTCAACAAACTAATAGAGCCGTTTAGCAAGTACCAACTATGTCAGCTGCATATAGAGTAGATCTCTTTATCTCTTTTAAAGATTCATGCAAATCCTCTTTAGTCCAGCATCAGTTACTTCCTGAAACTGCAGATAGAATACTTGATTTCATCACTTAGGTATAGAAGAGCAAGAATGTTCTAACTAAGGATTCTCTACTGCCCAGAGGAGATGTGGGGATGGGAAATGTGGGGATTAAATCTCAATTGTAATGTCGGGATGATATCAATTAGCAGAAGATTGTTATTGATTGCAGTCCTACTAATTTTATTATTTTTGCAACCTGGTAAAAAGTAGGATGTCATTTGAGGTTCCTGTTACAGATATAAGTGTCAGTAAGATCCACTAGTCCAGTTCTTAAAAATCTAGGGCTAAGTTCAGGTCCTGTGCTACGCTGCTTTTTAAAAATCAACTTAACTGAATGCCATAAAAGACACAGAAAAGGTAACTTATTGTGCTAAGTAACACCTAAACAAAGTATATTGGGTATATAAGCTATATAAACTATAGTAATACTTTAGCTATGTTAATGCTATATACAAAATATTAATTTAGGGCATTGAATTTATTGTAAACCACATGACTTGTTCTCCCTTTTAACAAATAAACTTGTCTGAGTAAGAAATCAGAAGAATTCTGAAGCTGTATAATTATTTTTAGAAAATATGAAAGTCATCTATCACAGATACTATACATGGGAATTCAGTATTGAATACACTTCTAGGAATGAAATAGTTTCCAATTCAGCATACATTATATGCATTTTTAATGAAATTTCTTGGTATGCACTTGGTGGTGCAGTGGTTAGAATCCAGCATTGCAGGCTACTTACTTCTTCTGACTGCCAGCTGACTGCAATTTGGCAGCTCAATTTTCACCATGCTCAAGGTTGACTCAGCCTTTCATCCAGGTCAATATTACAATATTACATCAGTCAAAAATAATGACTAGATTACCAATACATGCTCATTTTCCATAAATAACTAGTATTGTTAACAAAATATAATGTATTTTGAAATTATTTCTTTTTGTCATTGTCTACGTTATTTGCTTCTAATCGCATGAGACCTGAATGTACCAATAAGGCAAAAGTCTTCCAGTTACATACTTAATATAGCCCAAATTCTGAAGGATTTTTTACTTTGTTATTCTTCAGTATAAGGATGGGGAGTCTGTAGACTTTTAGATATTCCTGAACAGCACGGATACTTTTAACACCAATTAAGAGAACCCATGCTGCTTCTGTGTTCGTCCTTCTTGGCTCTGAAAACCGAGTGTTCTTCATTCAGTCTATTAAATGCAGCAGCCCATATGATTTTGTGCAGACTCCGGTGTGCACATGTATCACCTCTCCTGCGGGAGCTGCATTGGCTGCTGATTTGCTTCCAGGTGCAATTCAAGGTGCTGGTTGTTACCTTTAAAGCCCTTCATGGCTTGGGACCAGGTTATCTGAGGGACCGTCTCTTGCTGGTCACATCTACCCAACCCATCAGAGCGGGGAGGCAGGGAATGCTGTGGATTCCATCCCTGAGGGAGATACACCTGGTGGGACCCAGAAGAAGCACCTTCTCTGTGGTGGCTCCCTCTCTCTGGAACATAATTCTCCCAAAGATTAGAATGGCCCCCACTCTAATACTCTTCCAGAAGGTGCTGAAGACCTCGTTCTGCCAGCGAGTCTGGAGAACCCAGAGCGGAATGGAGCCCATTAAATGGCTCTTGTGATCTGCTGTCGCCAGGGCAGGGGGTGGGGGAGTGATTTTATTATGATTTTATTATTATATTAATTTATTTGATTATTTTTATTCTTTTAAATGTGGTTTTTATATTCTGTAAGCCGCCTTGGGCAAATAGGCGGCAATGTAAATTTAATAAATACATAAATAATAAGGCTTCTAGAAACTTTTTATCCCAAATAGAAATACACCCAGTGATTTGTGATGTTCAGCACCAACTGTTCCTCAGGTGTCTGAGCATGCATGTGGAAAGACAGAATCAAAACCTATTGAGCCATATAATTTGTTGAACAGACATGGGCTCATTTACTGTCTCAAGCTAGCTGATCTTGAAATAAAGAATGTTTTGATCAGGAGAGAGGAGACAAGGAAGCTACATGTTACGGTATCTGCCTTTGCTTTGAAGGAAGACAAATGTATTCAGCAAGCATACTAAATGAATAAATACAAGTAAAGAAGGACATTGGGTACTGTAGAACGGGGACATTTGCCTTTGAGATTTCTTCTGATATGGGGAGTGGAAAGAGAGGCCTATGTATGATCTATAGCAAGTTAAACTAGTTTGATCCTGCCTTTAATCCTGTTTAAAGTAATTTGGTATACATCAGGAGTCTTCAACTTGACAGCTTTAAGACTTGTGGACTTCAACTCCCAGAATTCCTCCTCCAGTCAGGTTAGCTCAGGAATTCTGGGAGTTGAAGTCCACAAGTCTTAAACTTGCCAAGTTTGAAGACCCTTGGTATACATCAGTACATCAGGATATCAGACATAGACATGTTTTTTTATTGTTGCATTCCAGGTTTTACTATTTGATAGCTATTGAGCCATTCTGCTCTAACAATTTCAGAAATGCAAGAATTGCTAATGTTGACTTTTCTCCCCCCAGGTTGACAAATACAAATATAATTCACAAAGCTCCAGTATGGACCTTAATTACCATTGTGCTATTGTCTATGTAAGTATTCAATTGGATTCCTTGAAATACAGTGACCCTACCTTATTCTTTCCCTTACATAAATTACCACATTCTTAATTTACCTAATGTTAATTTTCTTTTGATGGCAGTTGAAAAAAATATGTTAGAGTGTGACAGAACTGAAGAAATGACAAACCTATATGTAATATAATTGATGTATAAAACAAAAGATGAAGACTAGTATTTGGAATATACCAACTTTCCTAGGAAACCTGACACCTGAAGAAAAGCACAGTAACTTACTATAGGCATTAACTTCTGCCTAGGCCTCCAGAACTAAAGCTCCAAACAAGTCTGTTCTGTCTATTGTCATCTTCAAATATATATCACAATATCTTGCAACTTACTGCTTACACATGATTGCAAAATTAGAACTAACCAGTTGAGAACAAAATTCGATTGAAACCAATTGGCTGTAGTCTCTGCAGGGGAGTCAGAACAGGCAAGATGGTGGTTGTGGCTGTGCAACCCAAGCCCTAATCTTTTTGTATGCACATTGACATCATACACTGCTATTGGTTACACTGCTAGACGTTTGCATGGTTAGATCAGGGGTCCCCAACCCCTGGTCTGTGGACCGGCACCCAGTCCGCAGTATGCTAGAAATTGGGCCGCGCAAACAAGCGAAGCCCCATCTGCAGAATGCAGGCAGCATGCAAAACCACCACGTCCCCCTCAATCCACAGAAAGACCTCTCTCCACGGAACCAGTCCTCGGTATTCAAAAGGTTAGGGGCCGCTGTGCTAAAGCAGTGTGTGTGGTTGTTTTGTGTGGGGACAGGAGGTGTCAAAACAGGCAAGGTGGCAGGTCTAGAGCATATTCTGCTCTAATAGCATAATGAGAGGAAATTTAAATAGCAATTGTATTTCTGCCTGCCTAGAACGACATAATAAGAGATGCAAGTACAGAAAGCATAACAAAGCATTCTGCTTCTTTTTTACAGATTGCATCCCTAACATTAAATATTGGGAGGAAAGGTTTTCGAGAATCAAAAAGCATTTAGTAAAATTTTAGAATTCTTTGCATTACTTTTTTTCCACTAAGAATTATTAGTAGATTTTTATAGATATAAAACATCAAGTAGTCATTGTCTGGTTGTCAGTTCTAATTACTAGCAAAAATTATTTTAGAAATTCCTTATTGCTGTAATATTGATTTTCCTCCTTTAAGATTTATATGAACCAATGAAATCTATAGAATAGTGGGCCAGCCATTCATATATCAAGAAATGTAGCAAATCAAATTCCTGGCATCTCCAGAACTGCACTTATTTTGATCTTGCTTTAGTCTGACACATTTTTCTGCCTTTTTTATCCCAGGAAAGGCAATACTAGTAGGCATTAGAGCAGGCTTCAATGAGCCTTACATCAGTGTCACACTAGCTAGATATTGCTCAAATGATTCATTAAATCAGAACACAGAAAATAACTTTACTTGAATGCCTTGATATAAATTTTTTATCAGCTGTAAGAACAAATCTTTTGTCTCTTCTTCTGTACACTTTTCTGATTGAGTTTCTAATGTGGGAAAAAGATCTTATAAATTTTTCAAGTATATCTTCGGTTAATAAAAGTGTGCTGGATTTCTTCACAAACATGTATGTCTTGGTGATGAATTGTAAATGCTTTAAAGGGCTACACTTCCTAAGGACAGATAACCCTTGTTCCCAAATTAATGAACTAAAGGCAGTATTGTCTTGCTGCAGCTTTCTCTGTGTAGCAACAATGCTAAATAGCATTGTTGCTAGCACCAAATTTAAAACAGAAACGGCTGTAAAAGTCTGACTCACAGACGAACACAATACAGAAGCCTGATGATGGCAGATGAGATTCCGCCAAAATGTTACTACAACTTTAAAAGCACAACTATAATGACGTGGGAAAACATCCGAACAAAGCTGAATACCATACCTATAAATACCCGCAAAAACTTAAGGAAAATATATATATATATATGCGCGATATTGACCCAAAATCATGTCAAACCGACTTCACCGTGTTCAATGTTTTTAATTGTTTTGTGTAATAAAATGTTTTTTTTTAAAAAAGGAATGCTGTTAGTACTGGTTTTCGATACAAAGCTGATAGAGATAAGAGAGAATATATAACTTAGGAAGGGAAACTAGCAAATCAGTTCCAATGTGAAGAGAACACTGGAATTGTGTTATGTAGTACTACATACATGTAGTATGTAGCAAAAATCCAAATTTGCTCTTATAGATAGTATATTGAATAAGATCCACTTGCCAGGAAAAAATACAGAGAATACTGATGGCTTATTCAGGAAGTAAATAAATAAAGTCAGCCATCAATTCAATCAGGTGGCATCAACTACAGGCAGTCCTTGACTTACAACCACAGTTGAGCTCCAAATTTACATTGCTAAGTGAGACATTTGTTAGGTGAGCTTTGCCCCATTTTGCTGCCTTTCTTGCCACAATTGTTAAGGTGAATCACTCCAGTGTTTAAGTTAGTAACACAGTTGTTAAGTGAATCGGGCTTTCCCATTGACTTTATTTGTCAGAAGTTCTCAAAAAATGATCATGTGACTCTGGGACACTGCAACTGTCATAAATATGAGCCAGTCAAACATTCGAATGTAAATCACATGACCATGATCATAAGTGTGAAAACTGGTCATAAGTCCCTTTTTTCAGAGCCTTTGTAACTTTGAACGATCACTAAATGAACTGTTGTAAGTCGAGGACTACCTGTACCACATTTCTCCCTCCTCTTAACTAGGTTTGTTAAGAATTGTGGCAATTACAGTTCTAACACATCTAGGGAGCACCAACATAGTAGAAGACAGCTTATAAAGGAGTATACTTGTAACTCAGGGATGCTAATAGGAGTGTGATCTCAATTTATATTTTAATGGCTTGCCCTGTCAATGGGAGTGGTCTTAGAGGTTCTTTGGTTGGGCTGTTTACCGTTAGCTTATCATTTGGGGTACTGTTTACTTGTTGGTAATGACGATGTTGCCTGGTTTGGGTAATGGAATGTCTGCAAGAAAGCAACCAAGTTCACAAAGCCCCAAGGTTCCAACAATTTATTTGCTGAAAATTATCCACTTTCTTCATTTTAGAATGTTCTTCCAGTATTCTATCATACTGTTAACATGTTTATACCATATTCACAGAATGACTGAAGCAAATGTGAGTTATTCCCCAAAGACCTTCGCCCAGTACCAAATGAACATTGCTCAATACATACAAAAAAAAAAAATACAGTCTTTGGAAACACACACTAGAATTGGCAAAGGGTTGCTTACACCAACCTGGGCACTTGGCTACTGCTAGTGAATACCCTTGGCACAGTCTAATGGAAAGCTTTCAAGATAGCTCCAGAAATGTCTGTTTCATTTTATTTATCTGATCTGGCTGGTTCCAATGAAGTGTGGTCAGCTTCATCTAACAAAGCACTTGCATAGTTTCCTCCCCCTTCCCCCTTAAAAGCTTTAGTGACTTTTTAAATGTTCTGGGAGTAGTACAGTAAAGCACTGGGCTTTGGTAGTTAAACTCCAAATGCCCATGATCACTGCAGAAAAACTATAGTAAGACATGCACTTTAGGAAGATGTGTTGCACATGGATGGACTCTAGAGGTTTGCTTTACAGGCATAGCAACAGATACAGGAAAATTTGCATAGCTCTTTATACATAGTAGTGAGCCATAAAGAGCAGATTTGGTTCCTGGAATGAAGAAGGCCCTAGTAAACCTGTTGAAAGCTTTATAAGAATCCCTTCTTGATCCTCCAGTAATCAAGCCATGTCAGTTGACACGGTGGCCTTTCCTTCAGGGAAAGTTAAAATCACAGATTATCACTTTATGGTGGGTAAATCCATAAACACTATCACCCAAATATTAGCTAAAGCACTTTAGGCAGGAATGGCTATGCTGCACCCGCAAAGACATTACCTGCTGTTAGACCGAAGAAGAAAATCAGTAATATTAGGGCCTGCTTGTACCAGAAAAAGTGTAAGTGGGAACAGGGCTTTATAACTTTACCAGATATAATTCACTTATTTAAACAAACAAAATGTTATAGCTTAGGTTCAGATTTACATATATTTAGATGAGATTGGTTCTAATAATGGTGCACTTTTGTTATTATTAAATTAAGGCTTTTGATTTCATTATAAGCATAACTTAAGTGTGGATCTAACTTATAATATTTTGTTTTGGATTATATTAAAGACTAGCGAGTTGTGTTTTTCCTGAGTGAAAGTTCAGTGGTTAAGGATATAATCTTAAGAACATGTTCTAGAGATGCTTCCCTGAATGTAGAAGGTCTTCCAATTAAACACCAGTACACTGGGATTCAGAAAAGTACCACATAGATGGAGATTATCTCTGAAATAGTTGGAAATGCTCTGGGGAACAAACACGATTGAAGCCATGTGCTTAAATAAAAGCCTAAAGAATATGAATATACATTCTCCTTCATTAATATATATATTTCTTTTATAGTTTCAAGACTTTGTTATTTAAGACCACTTTCTGAAACTATAGCATATTTCCACTCTGGACTTTCATTCTTTCAGCAGAATCTTGTAAATATTGAAACAAATTGTTTTATATCTTGGGATGCATATCAGTGTAGAAAAGGACCTACAATGTATAAAGCAATAAAATTTAAAAATATATAATTCAGTAAAAAATAGTTCACTTATGTAGTGCAAGCCCTAGTGAAATTCAGTGGAATTGAATTTTCTATCTTATTAAAATTATATTTTTAAACATAGTAATTTTTAAATATATCAAATATATATTGTGATTTATGAAATATTTTGATATTGAATGCTCTTCAGGCTTCATTTTAAAGGATACATTTTTTTTTAGTTAGTTTGGGATTTTAATTCGGTTTCTCCAATATCAACTCTTTGTTCAGCTGCTTTAAGGTGTTGGATTTGTTTATTAGTGAAATGAATATTATCTGATTATTGCCTTAAATAATTGTAAACTGAGCTATGAGCGATGT